CGCCACAGGCGAGATCACCTAATGATCACCCAGTCGCGCTCCATCCAGCGCAGTGGCCCATGTTCACGTGCAAGGCGCAACCTTTGCCCTCGTGCGCCTGAGGCGCACACAAGCACTCCAGACTGGTCAAGCACAGCACTGCCCTGAGGCTGACGCAAGCAAAGCCCAGTCTAGGCCTTTTTGACAATTCCCAGGCTGACGAACACACCGGAGTCTGCCCCCATCGGGAGCGGACGCAGGGATCGTTGTTTGCCGCTGTGACGACACCGCGCTCCCACACGGCCCTAACGGTCGAACGCCATGCCAGACCGAGTGGTAACTTCCTCCTTATTATTATTCAACCCTCCTGTACAAAAAAAACATAGTTCCTACCAATCTGGCCTACCCAAAACTTATCTCAGCTCCTAAGGAACCGGGTCTCGAAGATCGCAGCCATTAGGGTTAACCTTATTGGCCTAAACACTCCTCGACATAATTGTACCCTTCTGTTTTCATCCTGCGCCTCGTCATAGACCAGTAGTCGGTTTGCCACGAACGGCTGCATGTCTTCCGGTCTGCCGGTCAATTTCTACGAGTTCAGCCAATAAGACCGTTCGGTAAACTTACCCAGTTCACCATTCATGGGGTACACTTCCGCAATAGGCTTTGTGACCATATCCGAGGCCAGCGGTATACCATATAATCGAACGCCGATATGCGCACACAAGGCTCGGTTAGACACCGGCCCACCTCATCGCAGACCTCGCTTCGGGCTGGCTCCTGTTTCCTCCGATGTCATTTGTATTCGGACGGCAGTTGACTGGCGGGCTTTGGTTTCATCTGCGTCCGCATACAAATGAACCACGGGCGTCTACGGGTAAAGGTTTCTCACAACCACCTATCATACGGTCGGCAGTCTTAGGATTTTCCCCTACAAAAGTGCACAGTTATCCAGTAACTGTACCTTTGCTGATAGAACCGAATATGCGAGTTCCAGGTAGCAGTTGAAACGAGGAAGATGAAATCACTGGAACCAAAAATTATTTTCCTGACCTTTCAGATTCTGTCGAGAATCCTTAATCATGGGTAACCGTTAGGGCAGCCGAACACGTTAGCCGCCGTGAGCCGCGAGCGGACACGGGAGGCGGGACAGGCTGCAGACGAGAACGCAGTGACGCAACGACAGACGACTTGCTGGCGAACACGGGGCAAGCCAACTGACACGTACAGATTTGATTTTTACGCAGGAACTGTTAAAGTACACTATTCTCGGTTATCCTATCTGTCTTCTAACCCATACGTACAGCTGGGGGACACAACAGTAATCGTAGAACGATGTAATATATGCATAGATTGCGCAGTATTTATAGTTTGTAGCGGCCACTCGCATGCGTACTATAATTGTCAGTTCC